GTGGGGCCGGCATGGCAGGCCTGAGGATTGAACCCCCAGCCCCTGCGTCTGCTTGCAGGTGCTTTAATCTGCTAAACTATTTGGCCGGCCCTTTACCACTTTAATTTTTTTTTTTTTAATGTCCATTATTTTTAAAAGTATTTGTAACTTTTGTTTAGTCTTTAACTTTTTGTTTTGAAATAATTTCAGATTTGCCTACAAAATTACAAAACTAGCACAGTTGCTTTATGCCGTTTACATAAGCTTCCCCAAGAGCTAATGTCTTACATAATCGCAGCACCATTATCAAAACTAGGGAAACAGCATTATGCGGGACTGTTGACCAATCTGCAGATCTTACTCAAATGTCATGAGGTGTCTCGCTGATGTCCTTTTTCTGAGTCGGGCTCCCACAACAGATGTAGTCGTTGTCTCTTTGGTCCACTGTCATCCCTGCCAGTTCCTCTGTTTTTATACTCTCAACACTTTGGACGAATGCTGGCCTCTTACCAGTCTGGACGTGGCTGGTGTTTTCCTCATGATCTGAGTGGAGCTGCTGGTTGGAACAAGAACACGCAGAGCAATGTTGTGCCCTATGCCCGGTGCTCCCGCGTCTCCTTCCTGGGGATGCTCGCATTCTTGCTTAGTCAAGATGATGCCTTCTTTGTAATTAATGAGCATTTTTATGGGGAGGTAATGTCCTGGTCCTCATCAGACTTTGGCCCTATCCATTCCTTTCTCTGCGTGTGTACAGATTCTTGGCTTCCTATTTTAACCAGTGAATTATCATCTGGTGCAGCGAGGTGCAAAGGACAACAAATTAATACAGGACATATAAATTATAAGATTATTTTATAATAGTCACCCAAAGATTCATATATTAGAGAGAGCGCAGGAAATCTGTCCACACACACTGCAGACCTAAAGAATCCAGCTGAGGGCCTAGATCTCACAGCATTGTCCTACATGAGTCCACCTGAAAACCTAAAGTCAGTAACAGTGCCCTCCACCAGTCCACCTGGAGGCCTAGAGCCCAGGACAGTGTCCCATACAGGCCTGTTTCGTAGATCTGCACTGGGAAGGCCTTAAGGTCTGAGGTGGAAGCTAGACAGTCTGTGCCAGCGGGATGAAGGATCTGTGCCAGCAGGCTGAGGGATCTGAACTGGAGCTAGGAAGCACTGCCCCCCGAAAAGTACCACAGCCATCCTCAGTGACCAGGGTTCTAAGATCCTCTGACTACAAGAACAACTGAATCTATATCAGGATGGCCAGCATGACATGTTTCCAGGACACAGGAACAGCAGACCATCTTCCCCTCTGGAGCCAGCAAGTGATGTTCAAAGTGAGGACCAGAGCTCCCCCAAAGTGAATGATAGTCATTCTCAGAGACAGTAAGGTCCTGAGCTCCTTAGACATGACAATAGCCAAGTACATCAGAAAAGTCAGCATGGCAGACTCCTCCAGGAGAAGCAATAGCCCCAAGATAACAGCTCTTTAACAACTGTCTGCTTCCTCTCCAGTTCATTTTCCTGTTGTTGGCAACCATCCTCAACCCTCAGGGGGCAACAAACCCTGTACTGCATTGATTCAGTTGAGCTGAGTGTTACAAGTTGCCCACCATTTGTTGATCTACCACACCATCAAAGCCTGTAGTTGCTCATTTCGATGCTGACAGTGTCTTTTCTTTGGCTAATAGTAGCCCCCTTAAACTACCTTTGGGCCCTTGACTACCTAAACTACCTTTGGGCTGCCCCAGGCAGCCCCTTCCCTTTCGCTGGAGCACCTTCTGCCTCCTACTAAAACATGCAACTGAAAGCCAAATCATCAGCTACTTCGGGTGACTTGAGCCTCAGGGCATTGCCAGAAGGAAATGACTTGGGGTGACTTTCAACCATCGGTCTGTGCATCTCCTTACTTTATGTTCAGGGAAACAGAGTTCCAGCAAGGGCCAGGGATTTTCTGAATGTAGATAACCCAAGTTGAGCCAGGGTAAGGACAGAACCCAGCCCCTGCCACACCACTGCCTATAGCTAGATTTTCATCTAGACCTTATATGCCCTATCCCCTGGCCCAAAGTCCTTTCTGAGGTGTGAGGCTGGCTGTGTCCTTCCATGCTGCCTTTTAGCCCAAAGAGTCACAAGCCAGGGCCCTGTCCACAGCCTTGTCTTATTCGTCCTGCACTGTATTGGCCCAAGATTGGAGAATTGGGAGATTCCATGTAAATTGCAAAAGTTCCGGCTTCACTGGGCAGATCAGAGCATTGGGCTATTCTGAGCCCACTCCTCCACTTGTTGCCCCTGCAGGTGCTCCTCAACTTACTGCAACGCTACATCCCAGTAAATCCACTGTAAGTCCAAAATATCATGTGCCAAAAATGTGCTTACTATAACTTACCAGCCACTGTAGCTTAGCCCAGCCTGCCTCACATAGCCTCAGAGCATGTACATTGGCCTAGAGCTAGGCAAGAGCATGCAGTGCAGACCATTTCATGAAGACCTGACTCTCTGATGGAGTTGATGGGTCTCAGCACATCGGAGGGTCATTTGCTGCCCTGATCCTCTGACCAGCTGGGAGCCCTGGTTTGCTGTCAATATTCAGCTTGGAGAGAAAGAACTGCATTCGGTATTTCTAGGCTGGGAGAAAGATCCAAGTTCAACAGTCAGAGTGTGCTACCTTCTGAATGCATATATCACTTTTTCTCCAAACCATGCGAAATTATCACAAGTTGGGAGCTTTCTGTATAGAGCTAGGGCTCGGCAACCACTACTTCCTTTCGTATTTTCTGCCCAGCTGCAGCCCCCAGTTTGCTGACCCTGGACAGTCTCTGAAGTATGGTGCCTGCCTCATTCCTGTTGCCACTGGCATGGGAGTTGCCCGCCATGGCCTGGCCCTCAGGACCCACCCACTCATCGGGACAGCCTCCTCTCCAGCTGCCTGCCTCATTCCATCCCCTGCTTGCATGGAAATAAACTCAGCATTCTGGGCTCTGCCCCACCCTTGATCTTGACCTTTCCTGCCCTCCCCCTACCTTCTACCCCTTCCCCCCACTCCCTCCCCGACCCTCCCCATCTACTCTCTCCTTCCACTCACTCTCACCCTCCTCCTGCTCTACTATTCAGACATTACCTCTTATAGGACGCCTCGCAGACAGAGTGGAACAGAGGTGGGGAGTAGGGTCTGCTCCCCTAGCGCTGACCACACCATTCTCTTTCCTATTGTTTGTCTCCAATGCTAAGCTACAGCCAAAAGCCAATTTGCATCCCCAGGTCCCTAATGCCTAAAGAGAGCTGTGCACATAGTAGGTACTTTGCAAATGTTAGTTAAGTGAACATTAACAAAAATGCTAGCAAATACCTCGTACATTCTGGGTGCCGGGCACGATTGTCATTACTTTGCATGAACTGTCATTTGACCCTCACTGCTGTGCTGTGGGATACTTATTGTTGCCCCCATTTCACAGACAAAGTCACTGAGGCACACAGTGGTGAGGTGCCGTACTTAAGGCTACACAGTGGTGCCCTGGTTGAATTCTGGCAGTCTGACTCCGTAGCCCATGTTGGGGCCTCTAACAGACTTCTTAAGGTTAAGGAATTCCACATTTCCAAGATAAGGGAGTTGAGTAGCTTAGGAGAGTTGTGTCACATGGATCCCCTCCCTTCCTACCATACCCCTAGCCCTAACTTCTGGTGCCTTTCAATAGGAGCCTAAGCACAGAGCAGGCAGCAGAGAAAGTGACACCCTTTGCACCTGGCAGCCCAGGGGAGTTTTTCCTTCCCTGAGGTGAGAGCATGCTTCCCATGTAATTAGCACCCAGAGTCAAGGATCAGCCCTTATGCAAGATTGCCTGGCCCTTGCGTTGGGCTTAGCAGGGTGCTTTCTGTTTCCCAGTCAGCAGAGGAGTCACATGCCAGCTTGTCACTGGCCACTCTACTGAGTCAAGTTCCACCCAAGAGCTTAGGAATGCACTGGGGACCAAGGCTTGGCTGATAAATCTCTGTGGTGTGAGAACTGTCTGCTGCTCACGTTTGAGGCTGGGAAGGGAGCCAAGTGTGTGGACACCTCCCTGGTGAACTCTGAGTCCGATCCTCCGCAGGCACATTTCCTCTTCTCAGCAACCCTGCAGAGTTTCATAGTTGCTGCTCCACTCTTAGAAATGAGGAAACTGAGGCTCTGGGAAGTCCTGTGCAGTCTGCAGTCTGATCCAGGGCTTTACACTTAAATAGTCAGTGGTCAAGTGGGCTCAGAATTAAATCCCTGTCTGTGTGAATCTGAAGCCCTGGCTTTTCGCAACATACTGCTCAGCAGGAGTATGTAGAGGGACCCGCAGGACAAAGAGGCTCTTGTGTCACAGTGGAGGGAACCACTGGTGTCATGACCTGACCCCAGGACTGTGGGCCCCGGCAGGACTTCATGCTCATCTCGTGCTGTAAAGTGAAGAGAATCTCCAAGGAGCAGGCACAGGAGCTGGCAGGAGGGTGCAGTGGGGGTGGAAACGTGAGGAGGGGGTGCTGCGTGGGAGCAGGAAAAGGAAGGGTGGTACAGAGCAGGAGCGCAGCCTCAGCGCCATCCTAAACTCAAGAGAGCCCCATCCTTTCCCTGTGCCTCTTGGTGTCCCTGTCCCCCGTGGCTCCAGCATTCAGTTCATCCTGCAGTTACTGACCCAGTGTCTACAGCATGCCCACCTGTGCTGAGGTTGGGGACAACACCTTAGAAGGTCTCTGCCCTCAGGGAGGAGATGTTCTGCTAGAGAAAGAGCTATGGATGACTCTGGGTAGTAAGTGTCATACAGAAGATAAGGTGAAGGGGTGTGTGTGAAGGACAGTGGAGGGGTGAGAGCCACATGAGGCGGGCTCTCCTGAGGCCTGGGCCATGGCCTGGCCAGGCCTAAAGGGATAGAAAGAACTTGTTTGGGAAGTATGGAGACTTGCTGGCCTCATGCTGTTCAGCCAGCTCCCCTCCTGCTGCCTGTGACCCACTTGTGTATGTGTCCTTCTCACTCCCTTCCTATTTTTTCCCAACAGGTTTGACATCTACAGGAAGGTGCCGAAGGACCTTACACAGCCAACGTACACCGGGGCCATTAGTGAGTAGCTGCCCTCTGACCACTCTCCCACCCCTGCCTGTGCTCCTGGGTCCAGTCTACACAGAACTTCTGGAGTAGGGAAGAATAAAAGAAGGAAAAGCAGAAGGGAACTTCCTGCCAGGTCCCTCACCTGTTTCCACGCTGAGTTTCTGTCCTTACTGTAGCACTGTAAGGTAGAAGCATCAGCTGTTTCTAAAAGGGTAAAAGGAAATTATCAGTACAGTTTGAGGAGTCCTGATTGGAAAATCTGAAATCTGAGAAGTTCCAAAATCCAAAAGTTGTTGGAATGCTGGAGATTGAACTCAGGGCCTCATGCGTCTGAGACAATTAAATGCTCTACCACTCAGCTACATTTCCAACCCCAAAGCCAAAGTGTTTTTGAACACCAGCATGATCCTGGATGTGGCAAATTCACACCTGGCCTTCTGACAGGTGGCAGTCAGTACATAACTACACTAAGAATATTGTATAAAATCACCTTACCTAAAACATAAATTAGATTTGTGTTTAGGTCTGGGGAGATGGCTCAGTAGAATAAGCACTTGCCTGGCAAGCGCAAGGGCCTGAGTTCAATCCCCGATTCCGCAAAAAAAAAAAAAAAAAAAATTGTGTTTAGACTTGAGTCCCGTCCCCAAGGCATCGCATTGTGGATACACAGCTATTGCAAGCATCTGAGAAAATACAGTCAGACTCCCACTGGGCACAAGGATGTTTCCCGTCCCAAGCGTTCTGGGTAAGGGATAGTCCGTTCCACCTGTAGAGCTGCGCTGGAAGAGGAAGCTGGGACTGAGGGGCCTGGGGGAAACTTGCTTTTGTTTTCATGCCTTTGGAATGATTCCTATGTTTTATATGAGCATATTTGTATCTAACTTTTAAAATCACAGACCCAGATTTTGGTTTCTAGAGATGATTCTTCAATGGAAGAAACCAGGGCTCTTTAGAAAAATGACTGATTGCAGCACTAGGCAGGGAAGATAGGAAGAGAGCCAGGCCAGCTGTGTTGAGACTCAAAAGCAGAGCTGCAGGAAGCCTCAGAGACTTATGAAGTTAATATGGACATTATTGCTTGAGCCGACGACTTAAGGCCTGGGAATCTATACTGAAAGAAATAGGTGAAAGGAGACAATCTTCCTTCTAGAAGAATTCCAATAATGTATCTATAGATGCTTGCCTACTCAGTAGGTAGAATTTAGTTCCTTCCTCCCTGAATGTGGACAGAATATAACAACTCACTGCCAAAAATAGAAATTTAAAATAGTAGCTTTGGGCCGGTGGGATAGCTCAGTGGATTAAGTGCCTGCTTAGGCAAGCAGAGGGACCTGGGTTTGATCCCCAGTACAACATTCCACACCGGCTGTGCGCCTGGGTACACTAAGCCAGCGACCAAGTCCAGGCGTGGTTGTAATCCCAGCACTGGAGAGTCTGAAAACAGGAGGCTCACTAAGAGTCTGAGCTACATAATGAGACCCTGTACCTAATTAATTAATTAATTAAAATAAAAATACGTTTGCTGTAAGGAAACCTGGAGACAGCCCTCAGCCAAAAAGATCTGTGTCACCGGCGCTAAATCTTGAGGGGATGTGTAGTGGCGCCTTGCCCCCAAGGTTCTTCCTCAGAGAAGAATCTGCAATCCAGTCAAGTCATGAGAAAACGTTACAGTCTCAGGTTAGGAGACCTCAGAATTCCTCTGGAAACTCTTCCAAAGGAACTGGGCCTCAAAAAGCTGATGGAAAGTGGAGCTGCTGTCCCAGATGCTAGAGGAAGAGCCAGGATGAGTGGGTGCAAAGGGGGACCCTGCGTTGGTACTTGGGCAGAAGCGAAAAGCACATGTGGGAAAACTGCTAGAACCCAGGGAAAGGCTGTAGCTGAATTAATAGTACTGAACCAATGTGAACGTCTTCATTTTGACAGATATATGGTATTGTGTTGTGGTAAGTGACAAAGAGAAAGCCAGGTGAAGGCTCTGTGGGAACTCTGTGCTATCTTTGCATCTATTACAATTCAAGAAAGAAAGACAGACGGACAGAGAAAGCCAAACAAATTAAAGCTGTCCTATAAAGGGGATTCTTCAGCTTCATTTTTTCTGATGAGAAAATTAGCTGAAAGAGGTGAAGTGACTCATCCAAAGTGTTACAACTTGCAAAAGCTAGATCCAGGACTGGGGTGCAGGTGGGTCTCCTTGTACAGCCCTGACCTCTCCAGTGGGAGAGGCCTGATGTGGGACAGACCCTCTCTATTCCCCCAGGTCACTTGGTCCTCAACTGGGAGGTGGCTTGGAGATGCCCCATTCACAGCAGTTGTCCCTCTCCAGCCCTCCTTCCAGTTCGGTTTATTGAGGCTATGGAAGCTTACAGCATGGGAATAGCCAGCCAAGTGGCAGACTTCATGCCGCACCGGCCCTCCCATCAAGCAGAGCAGGGTTCATTCTCCTGTGTAGCAGCTGTGTGACCTGGGGTAAGTCACTTCACTTCCCTGAGCTCAAGTTTCCTGATGTGAGGGTTAAGGGAGAGCAAGCCTGCCCAGAGCAGGGCACGAAGGCCCTTGGCTCATGGACAGCTCTCCTTTCTTATCGCTGTTCTTCTCAAAGCCCACAGTCAACCTGTGAGAATCTGGGACTCAAGAAGCCATGTGGCTTTGTCCTTGACCCCTCCCGAGGAACAAGTCTTTAGGGAAACATGAGGGCAAAGGGGTCTGCTTAATTTATGAGCTTGCCTAAAAAAGGTCAGCGGAAGCTCCCTGCCCACTGTCCACTGCCAGCCAACAGCTCAGACCTCTTTCCTCTTCTCAATCCTATATCTCCCCCTTGTCACATTTAACAGTCAGATGTGCATCCTTCTAGGAAAAAAAATAGTTGGGCTTTAAGGTACCTACATGGTCAGACACCACAGGGGCATGGTGTGTGCACCTTTCTCCCTCTCCTGGACACCTTTCCATCCACACAACACCCTTGCCTGAAAAACAGGATCCAGCTGCATCCTGTTCTGTTACCTGGCTCACCCATGGCTCAAGTAACAGCCCCTGAGGGGAGCCAGTCAGTATTCTAGCTTGTTGCCATTGTCACATCTTTGTCCATATCTCTTTGCATCCCTTTGCGGCTATGCGAGAAGGTAACTTTCCCAGGGCAGGAATCACTGGGTCAGAGGGTACATGCACTGGACCGCGCAGAAGGCGCTGCCAGCAGCCCTCCAGGGACGGGGTCTGCTGTGCGTTCCCAGTCACAGCATGAGACGATGAATTTCTTACACCAGAGGAGAGGCGTGAGGCTTAGCCCTTAGCTACCATTTAGCGAACAAATATTTATGAAGCGGGCCTTGGGGCCAGGCCCTGTGCCAAGTGCTGAGGCCACGTTGATGAATGGACCTCATGCTTTGTCCTTGGGGCGCACACAGCCAAATGTGGCGGGCAGACTCAGGCACGTGCCACTGAATTACGGTGCGCAAAGTGCTATTAATAACTGAAGGGAAAGCAAGGTTACCGGAGACTTGTGCATCTGGGTGTGGATTCTGCCTCCTCTGCTTACATGGGCAGTAGCTCTGGACAAACTCCTTGACCTTTTGGCAGAGAGTTGGGTCTGAGGTCCACTGCCTGGCTGCCGCAGGTCTCCTACGAGCAGGCGTCCTTTTGGGGTCACATTCCTCCCAGGCAGAGCCTGAGTCACTTTCGAAAGAAGGCTGGACTCAGTGTCTCAGAGTCTTGCCCAAACATGGATTGAAAACTCCTCACCAAGCCTTCCAAAAGACCTCCTGATGGAATATTTCCTACTGCCTTCTTATTTTTCATTCATTTGACAAGTATTCCTTTTACACCATCTCTGACCCAAGTACTATGCTAGACCCAAGGGCTCAGTGATAAAAGACCTTGTTTCTACCCGCTAGTCTGGGTTGCGGTAGGGAGGACAGGCACACAGTAAAGCAAGTGTGATCAGGGCCTGTGGACTCCTCGGGTCTTGGTGGGCAGAGTCAGTGCTTATCACGTCCTCTTGCTGGATTGGCCAGGCTTTGTCCAAGCACTAAAAAAGCATATAGCTTTCACAAAGAGTCTTGTCTCCCTACCTCCAGCCTGGATAGAGGGAGCACCTGGGGGCTTATCTATATGCATGCCCCCTACCTGCAGGCCTGGGGCAGGGTAGGCAGCCACAAGACTTGGGTCCATCTAAATGTAGACCTTCCCAAACCTGCCCTGTGTTGTACCTGTTCGTCATAACAGCATCTCATGGGCTTGGAGTGGCCTGGTGGAAGTGATTCTGCCATGTGGGTCCTACATGGCCCTTGACAGAAAAGGCGCTAGGTTCTGGGTGCAGGATGCCTTGTCCACTTGGTGAGATTCTCTGGGGTGGGTGGAGAGATACAGTAACTGCAGTTTCAGATGAGAAGGGCAAGGCCAGCATCCAGAGAATTTGGGTGGGTAGTGTAGCTTCTCTAGTGGATTTGTGCAGCATCTGGAGAACACATGTGAAAGTCATTTTCATGCCATTAGAAAAAGAAACAACAACAAAAGCCCTCAGCTAAACACGGCCACTGAATAAACTGAGGCGAAGCCCTGTGGAAATAGATTGTTGAGTAAGCAAAGCATGGTTGGAAAAGGTGTGCCTGTTATGCTGCTGTTCCTTTCTGCTGTAGGCAGAAAAGGGATTTTTTAAGCTAACTATATATATTTATATATAATATATAATGTATAATGTACAACAGTGATTTTATGTATTGATAGTAACATAAATATGTACTTTATTCGTGGGTGTTTCAGTATATTAAATACATTCATAGTAGAGAAGTCCTACATACATATACTTATTGCATCATAATCCTTATATGGTTGTGGGAGAGCACACTAACTGTTGTGGGGGCGGGGCTTTGGATAGAGAGTGACTCACACAAGGTACTTTTATATATACTATCTTAGTTACTTTTCTCTCATTGCGAGACGACAAACTACCCAACACCTAAAGTTAACAGGGCAGAAGTGTTTTTAGCTCGCGGTTTGTAGAGGTTTCAGTCCATCATCAGCTGGCTCCAAGGTGGGCTGGCGTCACAAAGGAGAAACAGTTCATGGCAGGCAGAAGGGCGCAGAGCAGGCAAGGAGCCTTGGCAGCCCTCTTCTGTCCCTTCTGTGCTCTGTTTAAGCAACTGAATTAGGGTGGTACCAGACTATTCTGTGGATTCATTAATCCCATATGCTTAATCCCAGCATCACACACTCAAGATCCAACCACCTCTGCAAAAGCCCCACCTATGACTGCATGAGACCTTGCGGGAACATCTAGACACAAACTATAACATATGCCTACAATTTTTTTTTCCTCTTAATGGGCATGCATTACCTATTCTTTTTTTCTTTTTAAATTTTATTTATTTATT